TTCTTTGTGGTAGGGCAAGATAGGAAATGACCGAGAGGAACAAGAGACATGCTGTATATGAAGAACAAGTAGTGATGTTGCTGGAACACAGTGTAGACATGGATGAAAAATGAGGTTCAGGGAAGCTGGGGCAAGATCATGGCTTATCTTGTTAAAAGAGGGATGATAAAGAAACCACATAAATACCACAGGGAGGATGTATCTGAATGTCATAGGAACACAGCTTAACATTATTCAGAGAGAAGTCAGTGTACATTTCCTGATCTAGAAGAAGGGGATTCAGTGAATGTATATGAATAATTCACATGGGATGCCAGATAATCAGATCAGAGACAGACTGTTGCGACGTGACTAAAAATTTTATGGACCTTACCAAAACCCAGAAAGTGCCAGATATCCTAAATGCACTTCCAGTGTTTAAGGTTGCTTGTGTATGTATATAAAATTTCATTCAATAGACAGAATATACTGAATCTTCAACTGAAGAAAACCACTGGGGAAACTTAATAGGAGACTAGGGAGAAATGAAATGGAGATGAGCCAGGCATAGTTATAAGCTGTCAATTTTATGACATTGTTTAACAGATACAGGCAGTATAACATTTAAATGGCTGTCATTATTTTACTAAGTTCTATATCACAAAGCTATCACCAGTTCCAACATTCTGATAATTAATACTAAAACTACTCCTTTAGCATTAGAGAGCAAATTCCGAGGAAAGGAACATCTTGCAAATACTACAATCTTAAATCCTTAACTGTTTATAATAATCTATTTCCACTATAGAGTAATACTCCATTGGTAAATAGAGTATTGTGTTTGAGTAACTGTGCAACACTCGTCATAACTGCCATTTGTTGAACACCTCTTTTACTACACATTTCATTTGTATTATTGCAAAAGCCTTACCAGTTTTTATGATTCTATTCTTAAAGGTGAGAAAACCAGCTTTGAGAGGTTAAGAAAATTGTCCAATATCACACAGTTAGTAAGTGGGAGAGCCAGGATTCAGACTTAGGACTGCAAAATTCATGTTGTTTCTGTTATCAATGGCAATCTCTACTTAGAATATTAAATGTGTCTACATAAAATAGCTATAGCCACATTTCCTATCCAGCTCAGCCCAAAGATGAATGGGAGTTCAAGAGGGGACCAGAGAAGGAATTCTGGAGGTGTGGCTGACCTCTCTATCTGCATTTCCTCTTCCAGGTGTTCGTCCTTTGGTGAGGTTTCCCCTTTCACCTTTGCTGATAAGGTCCCAGTTACTATTCTCACTTCTTCCTTAATTCCTGCTGCATTATCGTTCTCACCTCCTGCCGCCATTCTTTCTCCCTTGATCTAGGCAGACACTCGTGATTATGTCCACTACATTTTCTCTAAACCATGAATACAACCTCAAATTTCCACTCAACCCAGAGCTCCAAACAACCTTTATCATTCAACTGATGTTGGCATTTGAGCTGAGAGTTGTTTGTTTTTCTGGATCTGGTCCTTTCTTCTGAAGCACCCTAAGGAATACACCATTATAAGTAACTCAATAGTTCCACTGCTACTATCATTCAGCAAACTGTAAGGAACTTTCCGTGTGCACGTGCTGAATGTATCATCCGCTCTCTCAAGCCCTCTCCCTCTCAACATGTCTGAGCTTTCGATGATACCAGCAGAGTATGGGAAGCATACACACCCAATGACACAGGTGAGTGGATGCAGTTCCCCAACTTCCTCACAGAGGAGGTCCTGATAGCCAAAGAAGAAGACAGCCACCAAGTCAGAGAAACTCAGAGCTGTAGGCTTGTTGCCTTTCTTACCTAGGCATGAGGGGAAGCCAGGTTAGCACCCAGGAGTCTACCCTACTTACTACTCACTGTATAAGCAATTCCTTGCCTGACGCACATACTTCTAATTTATCTTGAGTTACAGTGGTATGGTCATAGTCAAGGCACCATTTGCATTCAAGTCCTTATCATCTCACATACGGATAATTGCAACTTTTCAGGTCATCTTGTAATTACCATAGGTTAAGAATTCAATATTTATTAAATGAATGAAACACATGGACATAGATTCAGATGATTAGCCTTGAAACATTACTTCTGTAACACTGGTTCTGTGCCGTAAACCAATGGTTTCCCAGCAAGCAGTTCAGATTTTATCACTTGGAATTTAAGTCTCAACCTTCTTGATCCAACTTATTCATGATATTTCTTCTTCTGTTCCTCCTCAGTTCTTAGTTGCAATGACAATAGCCTCTTTAGTCTTCTCTTTCCCTTCCCTTCCTCTCTCTGCACCTCTATCCACACGTGCAAGTAAGTGAGCATATCATGTGATGCCTGCCATCTTGCTTTGAATTGTAAAGACCCCACCCCTCCAGAAGTTCAATAGGTATCACATGCCTACCATCTTGTCTTGATTGTAAAGAACCCCCCATCCCAGAAGTTTGATAGATACCATTTTCATGCTGCATCTGATCCATCCACTTTGGGAGGGGAATAAAAATGTTATTGCCTCACTCTCTGAGTCATGCATATTTCTTACAGTAAGCATAGCTGTGGTATTAGTCATTTATTTTTTATAATAGCTTTATGAGGTACATTGACATAGTATACATTTTTAATCTATTCTGTAATTTTTTTTGCTGTTCCCTGGTGGCTGAGATGGTAAAGTGTCTGCCTGCAGTGTGGAAGACCCGGGTTTGATCTCTGGGTTGGGAAGATCCCCTGGAGAAGGAAATGGCAACCCACTCCAGTACTCTTGCGTGGAAAATTCCATGGACTGAGGAGCCTGGTAGGCTACAGTCCACAGGGTCGCAGAGTCGGACACGACTGAGTGACTTCACTTCAAAGATGTTTGCAAGAAATTGTTGTTATAAGATTATAAAATGATCTATACTTTATGAACCCATTTGTTCTGTAAAAAAAAAATGGGTATACCATACATAGGCCAAAATCTATTAATATTTGTTACCTCAAAGTGGTGGATTTTATTTATTCTTTAATTTTTATTTTTTAAAAATTTCCTGTTTTGAATTATTGTACATCAAAAAGGACTTTCTGACTTACAGTCCTGTGAATTTTAATATATGTACAAATTTATATAGTCAGCATCACATTAAGGATAAAAAACGTTTTCTTCATTAGTTCAATAGTCTTTCCTTCTTATTCATTTATGGTCAAATTCCACCCCTTACTTCTAACCTCTGGTAACTGCTGATCTGTTCTCCAACACAATAATGTTTTATGAAAGAATGTGAAATAAATGGGATCATAGACTGTAATTTTTTGAGACTAGCTCTTTAACTCAGAATAATGCTTTTGATGTCAATCAAGTTTTGCATGAATCAGTAATCTGTCTCTTTCTATTGCTGAGCAATTTGGGGTAATTATGAATAGAGCTGCTATAAATATTCCAGTCCAGGTCTTTGTGCAAATGAAAGTTTTTATTTCATTAGTGTAAATACCCAGGAGTGGAATTGCTAGGCTACATGATAAGGGTATTTATAAGAGCAATGCACTACTTTCATTTTGATTAAGTCCATTTATTAGCCTTCTTAAAAACAGACTGCTTTCAGTATCATGTCTAAATACTCTGCCTCGTCCTAGGTCATAGGGATTTTCTCATGTTTTCTTTTAAAAGTTTTATAGTCTTACAATTTACAGTTAGATATAGCATCTAATTTGAGTCAACTTTTATATAAGGTATAAGGTTGAGATGGGTTTTGACATTTAAGCTAAAGTCGCTTAGTCGTGTCCAGCTCTTTGTGACCCCATGAACTATGCAGTCCATGGAATTCTCTAGGTCACAATACTGGAGCTGGTAGCCTTTCCCTTCTCTAGGGGATCTTCCCAACCCAGGGATCGAACCCAGGTCTCCCACATTGCAGTCAGATTCTTTACCAGCTGAGCCACAAGGGAAGCCCAATTTAGTAAATGTCAAACTTTTTCAACAGAATATGTTGAAAGAGTATGCTTTCTTCATTGAATTGCTTTGTAACTTTGTCAAAAAAGCAACTGGTCTTATTACTACGGGTCTATTTCTGTACTTTATATTGTTCCATTGGTCTACCTGTCTCTCTCTTTGTCAGTACCATGGTGTCCTGATTACTGTAGCAAGTATTGAAACCAACAAATGTAATTTTTTCCAACTTCCTTTTTTCCCCCAATTTTTTCAGGTATTCTCTCTCCTTTACACATTATTTTAGAATCAGCTTGCCCATATATTCAAACAATTCTCTTTGATTTATTACTGGAAATGCATAAACTTTGTAAATCAACTTAGGGAGAAATAATATCTTTACTATATTAAGTATTCCAATCCATGAACAAGGAATTTTTCTCCATCTACTTAGGGCTTATTTGGTTTTATTCATCAGCATTTTTTAGTATTTTTGCAAACAGATGCTGTACATTTCATCAGATTTAACTGCATTTTGTTTTCACTCCTTATCTCTATTATTAAAAATATTATTGGTTTTTTATTTCAATTTGCAATTTTCCATGACTAGTATACAGAAATACTATTAGTTGTTGTATGATCACCTTGTGTCCTATGACCTTGCTAACAAGCTCAAAAACTTTTAGAAGTTTTTAAAAATAGATTCTTTTGGATTTTCTTCATAGATGAGTATAATCATGTCTTCTGCAAATAGAAATTGTTTTATTGCTTCCTTTATGGTATGTATGTTTTTAAATTTCTTCTTCTCATTTTATTTACAAGCACTGGCTAGGATGCCAGTACATTGAAGAAAGAGTGATGGGAATGTACAGCCTGGCTTTGTTCCCAATGTTAAAGAGAAAACATTCAGGTTTTCACAATAAGTATGATATTACCTGTAGGATTTTTTTTTAAAAGATTTCCCTTATTATGTAAAAGTTCCCTGTTATCTCTAGTTTGCTGCGGGATTCTATCATGAATGATGTTGAATTTTATTAATTTTTTTCTGGATTAACCAATAGTCTTCATTCTTTAAACTATTTTTATTTATTTATTTTTTAATTTTAGGTATGAGTGACAAATGTATTTCTTTTTATTGCTTTCTCTAAAGTATTTCAGAAACTGAAGTGCTTTATTTTATTCCACTGTTGGCCATAGTTTGAGCCCTACACACTCCCTTCCCTTTCACCTCAAATGGAGCGCCTTTGTATGTAGCCACGCATACATCATTAGTGTACAGATCAGGCTAGGTCTGCTCCCAAATCTTCTTCTTAGGATTCAGCTCCTTGTCAGGCTCTCCAGGGAAAGCATCAAAAGTAATTCTGTCCCCAGGAACAGATCCATTAGGAGGTGCCAAGATTTCTACTTTCTCTGGTGAACTTGCACACATCACCATTGCCTGAGATACTACTCCCCGCATCTTTGCAGGTTTCAGGTTACAAAGTAAAAACCACCATCCGATTTTGCATCTGTTCAAGAGGAACATGATTCACCAGGCCACTGACCACTGTTCTTGGGGCTGTTTCTCCAACATCTACTTCTTCTGCATACAAAGAATCTGCATCAGGGTGTTTTCTGGCAGTGATGATACAACCAATTCGAAGATCCAGACGGGAAACATCAACAGGCTTAGAGTCAGCACTTCCTGCTACTGGTTGCCGTTTTTTCTCCTTTTTCTCTCCTTTCTCTTCAGTTTTCTCTTTCATCTTCTTTTCTTCTCCTCCTCCTCCTCCTTTTACTTGCTCTTTAGCACCAGGAGATACGGTTATTGGTATAGACTGTATCTCATTTTCAGAAACCGTAGAATCAGTTTTTAGTGGAGTACCAGATGGAAATGGTATTTGTTTTACTCCATTTTGAATTTCTGCCTTAATTAGCTCTTGTTTCAATCCTTCAATTTCCTTCTTCAATTTAGCATTTTCAACTCGAAGTTTCTTCTCTTCTCTCAAAGTTGCCTGCAAAATTGCTTTCTCCTTAAGAAGAGCAACTTGTTGCTTAAGATATTCAATAATTTGATCTGCTTCTGCACCCTTCTGCTCCAATCTCTTCAGAACAGCATCACTGGTTGCCATTTTTGCCAAGAAACGGCAGAAACTCATGTATTGGTGGACTGATGCACCTCAGCAGCCTCGGCCGGGAGCAGGTAGGGAGCGCCTCCGCCTCACGGAGTCCCATTCTTTAAACTATTAAGGTGGTGGATTGTTCTAATTTTTAGAAAGGAATAATGTATCAGCCTTTCATATCCAGAATTAAGCTTTACTTGATTGTAATGTGTTATTCTTTTCCTATTTTTTGAACTCGATTTGAATACTTAATAGAAGCTGCTGATGTTGAAAAAATGCACAAATAAATTAATCTATTATCCTAACATAATGAAGAAATGTTTACTCTATATTCTCATTATATTGAAATACATACTATCTTTAGAACCAATCAATAGGGAGAACACTCTATAAATCCCAGTTGATAAATGCATTTATCAGCATATTTTATGTGACATCTCAGATTTAGTTTCTTTGAAGCATAAATGTCTTCTGAAGAATTAGAATTTAAAACTGATGAAGTGATAGAATTTTATGATACAAGCTTTAGACTTTATTGCACTGATACTTAAACAGCTGAGAAAGTATCTTTTGTAGAACCAATTAAAAATGCCAACTGTATCCAGCACTTCACTGCCCTTGATCAACTGGCAACTCCTTTTGCTTTATTGCCACTCACTATAATCCCCCAACAATTCAGATCCTATAATTTTACAAAATATTTAGTAGTTTAGACAGAATTAAGCCATTTTTTAACCAGTATTTGAGAAACTGAAAATTTAGCCAGGATATCATACTGTGGCCAATCTTCCATTTTAAAGCTCTGTTGGAAACCCCATAAACATGTCTTGAATAATTCTGCCATGATGGAAAGCAAGAAAAATGGGACAGGAAGTTGTGTGAGGAAAGAAACTTTACAACCAATACTTTGAAGCTACAACAATTCAACAATAAAAGGGAATGAAGAGTTGGGCTCTGGGGTAATTGAAACTTTTTCTTCCATCTTTCCTTCACTTAAAAAAAATCATAAGTCGATATATTGTACCAGATGTGCTGAGATAACCCTCCCAATAGAAAACATCTAAAAATGCTATGGAAAATATTAACAATTACTTCCTTTCTTTAAATCACAGTTGAGCTGGTGGTAAATGAATTAGTAAAGAGATGGAATCAGTTGACAGATATGTTTTCACAGAGAAACCACCGTTCTGAAAAGGCTTACAAAGTAAATATGCTCAACACTTAATGAACAAATAATTCCACTCTTCTCTTATACAAGTTCTTTCCAAGTATGGAAAAAAAGAGAAATCACTCCTTAAATTTTCTGTGTGGTTACTAAATCATAAAGAAACAAGACAGCATGTGTGTGTATGTCTGTGTGTGTGTGTCTAAAAAACCAATGTCATTCTTGAACAAAGATGCAAAAAAATCCTATACAAAATATTAGCAAATCTTACCCAAAAGAAATAACCAAAGCTTCCTGGAGAAATGGATAATTCTACATCTTGTGAAGGAAATAAGTAAGGTTAATCTGGGAAATATTGTGTCAGAAAGGAAGAAGGCTTTTAAACATGAGTGGAATCATGTCAAAAGGGTACAGGATAAAGTCTGAACAGGTTTCCACTGGTATAGGATGAGACAATTTGAGAATAGAAACAATAACTATATAGAACTAAAATACAATAAAAATATAAAATCCAGAGGACAATAATGACATTAAAATCCCCAAAACAATAAAATTACTTCACTGGTAATCAGGAGTTGTTGCCAGGACAAAACCTTATAGTCTGAAAGTTGATAGAGGAAAAGAATAAAACATTTTCCCCTACTTTTCTGTATGGACTCTATTTTACCGTACCTAAAAAATCAATGAGAGAGTTCTGTGAAAAAGAATTCATTTAATAAATGCAAAATTAATGAGATAATTAGAGCATTGTTTTTGTAACACCAAGTGAAATAATACCTGTGGGTAGGAATCATGGATGCTAAAATCATTAGATAAATGATGATAAGAAAATTCACAAAGGAGGAATTAGATTGACTCCACCTGAGTCCACTGATCAATCTTAACATCACTAAGCATGGAACAGTCAGCTAGTTTGTACCTCACAATGTGATGCAATAGGAAGGACACAGCATCACCATGAAGTATTCTTGCCTTAAAAATACATCTAAATTCAATAATGTTTCTAAATTTGAATTTTAGTTAACAGGAAAAGTGGAGGCTAGAAGAGTAAGTGAAATGGCACCATAAAGAATATGTCAAACAGCCAGGCCCAAAGTATAGAACATTCTAGAACAAATGACCTAAATTTCTCAACAAACAAATGTCTTGAAAAAGGGACCATGTGTTTGTGTGTATTTATGGGGGAGAATGTTATAGAATAAAGGAGACTTACACATAATCATGATGTGCAATTTGCAATGCATGGGTCTCATTTAGATAATGATTTGGAGGGGAACAAAATAATGTAAAAAGATACCTTTGAGACTCTCCTGGCAATATGAATATAAAATAGGTATTAGATTATACTAAGGAATTCCCATTAATTCTGTTGGATGCAATACTGAAACGGTTGTTACATATTTTAACAATACCTTTATCAGTTAATGATGCGTACCGAACTATTTATGGGTGAAATGACATGATGTCTGAGATTTTCTTTTAAATAATCCACCCTAAAAAAATGGGGTTGAAAGAGGGATGGATAAAGCAAGAAGAGCAAATTGTTAATAATTCTTGAGGCTCAGTGATGATAGCATTAAGATGCATATTACTACTCTCTCTCTTTTAGTGCATATTTGGAAATTCTGATAACAAATCCAGAATGTATAAAGAGATAATATGTTATAATCAAGTTGAAGTGATTAAAACATTTTAAGGTCTGTTTTACATTAGAAAATCTACCAATGTAACTTAATGCTTGAATAGATGAAAAGATTTAGGGATCCCATTAGATTCAGGAAATATCATTTAATAAATTCAACAGCTCTCCATACTAACACACTTCAACCAAGGATAGAAGGAAAGGTGTTTAATGTAATGGAGGGAAGCTAAACAGTGCACATAATTATTATCTTTACTACTGAAATATTAAAAATATTGCATTTAAACTCAGGAAGGAAACAAGGATATCTGTTTTCAGTATTCTACTGCAATGCACATCCAGCCAGAATAATTTGAAAAGAGTGAAAGGAGAACAATACAGAAACTGGAAAGAAAGAAAGAAAATCTCAGTATATGTATATGTTATCCACATCTATTTAGAAAACTCCAAAATTGGCTACCACAGGTACTGAGAATACTGGAATAAAACATGTTCAGACTAGAAATATTGCAGAGAATTGGAAATAAAAAACTTTATCCCTAGACCATAAACATTTTCCTGTTTCATTAAACATTAATCAATGACTGCATAACATACAAATAGGAGTGTTTGATTAGACTTGCAATTTTTAAATTACACCTGTGGGTCTTAGGCAGGTCTCTAATTTCGCTGGCTCTTAGTTTTCTCAACTATAAAATTAGTATGGATTACCTGATTGTTAGGATTTCTTAATAGTCCTACTGTCATGTGAACTTAACTAATTAAAAGAGCAATTAAGATGTATGTTTTATGCATAGCCTAGCAAACCAATAGAATCCTGTAAAAGTGTTTATTTATATTTAAACATCATATGTGATCCTTTATTATGTGAAAGGGTTTCTTGAAAGATTTCAGTCCAGTTTGCATAATTAGTTATAAGCTACATGTTATAGGATATATGTTTTGCAAATCCTTGTTTCCTTTTATGCCTGATTGCTTGACAACAGTTGATGCCCAATGAATACCTATTGAAATAAAAATGTAAAAGCTTTGTGGTTGGTAATGGGGATAATTCTGATATGAGAAAGCTGAAAGGTGGAAACATGAGGCACACATCTAAGAAAGAATATAACACAGTTATGTTTTGATAATCGTTTCCCACATTTTTTCTTTGGTGTTTTCCTTCTCTGTTAGACTGATAAGTTCTAGCATGGTAGGGACTATGTTTGCCTTGCCCACAAAAATATCACCGGGACCTAATTCAGTGACAGACACTTAGTGGATGCTGAATATACTTCTTAAATGACAGGATGTATGGTTATCTGTTCCAGCTTCAACTTCAGGGAAATTACCCATGTTTTCCAAATTTATTTTTCAGCCATATCCTGCAATAAACATACTCACATTTTATTGATTAAACCATCAAAAGATATTCTCTAGGAACTCAGTAAAAAATTCTAAGTTACGTGGATGCATATGTTTTTTATATATATACATATGTATATGTACATATATACATACATATACATGTAAAACATAAAAATATGTGCCAGTCTTTTCTATTTGGACTGAAATGTCCTTGACAATAGCTGTCTTCTCTGGTTACAGCCCTATATAGTTCCCTTTTTTCATGGTCTAATTGCTGGTGATAAGCATCAACATTCCCTAAGACCTTTGACACCTTGATCCTCCTTCTCAGACCCTTTCTATTCTCTTTCTATTCTCAGCTAATAAGAGAGCAATTACTTATTACTGTCACCTTTGGACTTGCTGTTTACACCTCAAAACACGGAGATAATGCTTCTTGATCTCTTCCTTGATTTTCATTCAGGTTATTAAAGAATCATTGGTTTTTGTTTTTTTTTTTAATCCAGGGGATACATTTAAGGCTTTTTCTTGCTTGATCTCTCAGTTGTGCATAATTTCACTGTTGCCATTCCATTCTTCTTAAAATCAGTCCTTTCCCCTACTAATTTCTAAATCATGACTCTCCTCTGGTTTTCCGTCTACTTCTCTCACTGCTGCTTCTCATTCTGTGACATGGGTTTCTTATCTTTTATCCGTCTGAAACTACCCTTAGCTCTCATCTCCTCTCAATACTGGATTCAGTCGGTTCCTATATGTTGATACCTTCTAAATAAATGTGCCTTGTTCCCTCATGTTTTCGTGTCTGCACACATTCTCTCCTTCTCCCTGGATCAATTCCCACTGCTTGTTCATTGGGAAAAATTTTACATGTCCTTCAATTAGCCCCAATCCTTATTTGTGGGATTCCTTGGTGGTTTAGACTGTAAAGAATCTGCCTGCAATGCAGGAGAC